CTGTCGGTTCACACCCCATCACAAGCCAGCAAAACACCCACGAAACAAAGAAAGGTCTGTCACAGCCAAAAAATACACTCCAGACACGCCGCTGGCACTAGAGGTATATATATATATGTCACATAACTACGAACTAAAAGAGCGCACTTTGCAAAACAAAGAATAAAAACAAAAAACGGGCACATTGCAAAAAGAAAAAGAAAAAGAAAAAGAAAAAGCAAGGGCAGATTGAAACCATTAAATTTCTCATTCTTCTTTGAACTCCACCTCCACTGTGCCTCTCACGTGCAAGGCTGGCCACATTGATGAAGTTAGCGCGAGCCGCCCCCATCCCAGTATGCCATAACAGCCCACGTGCACGCTGTGAGAGAGGCAGAGTGAAGGGGAAGGTGTTAAACACACGGAAAAGCTCAAGAATGAGGCTGTCCTTGACGACAGAAAGGACACACATTGTAAGGATGGGGTGGATGAGCGCATGGAAGACCTAACTGAGCATTCTCAAAACAACAACTGCCACGACAGCTGGCATTAAGCATGCCAACCATACATTCCTCACAAATGGCATGTCTATTGCAGGCCAGAATAAAGGAAGAACGCCCCCCACAAAAGAGCATGCATTCAGCATAGCGTCCGTGGCCACAAAATGGACATATAGTGTCCGGATGAGCATGCATTCAGCATAGCGTCCGTGGCCACAAAATGGACATATAGTGTCCGGATGAGGAGGCTGCCTGCAGTCACGAACGGAGGGACGATCCTCTACACACATGGATGCAGAAGCCATCTCATGGTAGTGATTGTGACAAAGATGATGGCGAGTACACCCAAGTGCAACAGTGTTTGTGGCTGTACAAAGGAGAAGGTCACATAGTGTGTGTACATTGTACTGCTGCACTACGGTGCCAGAGGAATGATCTTCGACATAAAGGAGATTGCAGACAGTTTGATGTGGCAAGAGAACAGCATCATAGAGTAAGAAATCAGTAATATCAATCATGGCATGGACCATGACCCCGTCGTTCCACATCTCCCAATGGTCAGAGGCGTGTACAATAGCCATGTAATGGCCAGGCCCGTGCACAATGCAGGCAGAGATGTGGGATGGAGGATTAAACAACTCACCTGGTAGATCATGGCGTAGTTCAAGTTGGCGGTTCCTCATCGCTATTTCTAGGACAGCAATGGTAAAACCTCCTTCCCTGGTGTAATTACGATGCTCTGGCTGTAGGTCGGGGGGATCAGCGATATTAGCGAGATCAACATCAAGTTAAAGGGCAATTGCAAGCAAATCTGATGGTGTATACAACGGCCGATTGAAAATGTGAAGGCAGCTATTAGTTGCAGTTAGACCACAGAGATTGGCGGGGATCTCAGGCTGATTTTGTTGGTCAGTCATTTGTAGATCACCCGTGGGGTCTGCGCAGGGTGGTGCACAAGTATGCGGTTCATCCATATGATCCTGGTCAGCCATTTGCAAATCCCTCGTGGGGTCTGCGCCATGTGGGATTAAATGCAGTCCAAGCAGATCATGTTCCAGTCCCTCAACGTTCGGGGCCACACAGGGTGGGGCACAAGTATGCGGTTCATCCATATGATCCTGGCCAGCAATTTGCAAATCCCCCGTGTGGTCTATGCCTTGCGGGGTTAAATGCAGTCCGAGCTGATCACGTTCCAGGCCCTCAGCGTTCGGGGCTGCATGTTGTACAGCTGGGGGACAAACGAACATGGAAGGGCATAAAACATGGTGTTGTGGTTGTGTGCAAGCAGCTGGACTGTCTGCAGGAGGCATAGGAGCGGATGTATCCGTTTGGGACAACGGAACCGCAACAACCTGTGGAGGAGGCACAGAGAAAATTGGGGTAGACAAAGAAGTAGGCCGCTGATCCCTGGCCAAGTGGCGATGTTGTGCATGTCGCCGACGATGATACACAATAAGAGGAGWGGCGATGTTTCTAACAGAAGATGAGGATGTCACTTGCAATGAAGGCGGAACAATGGGAAGAATAGAAACCGGAGAATCGGTTCTCAAACGAGACCGTGGAGGAGATGGGGGTGGCGAGGAGGAACGCAVCCGTCTGCGGCCAAGCACAGAAGGGGATGAAAGGGGGGTGGATTGGGCAGGATGTCGGAACATAGGACGCGAGTATATATTTTTGGCTGTGAGAGACCTTTCTTTGTTTCATGGATGTTTTGCTGGCTTGTGATGGGGTGTGAACCGGCAGTCTGTAGAGTTTTCCATCTGGTGTGGGTGAGTGATAGTCTACTTTGATTTTGGTTAAGGTAGATTATCATTTACAGTGTAATCAG